TAATTATTGACAAACTAAAGCTATATATATATATAACCAAATGATATAATACTTATATAATCTATACATGGCTTGGTTTAATGTAGAAAGTATTTTATTTTTATAATTAAAATATCTATTGTGAGGAGTTTGAATTATAGTTCAGAAATTCCTTCCAAAACTTCAGTTTCAATTAGAGTCTTTATGTTTAATTTGTGAAGAAACAAGCCGTCCTCGGGGCCTGTGAAATTAAAATAATAGTCCATGAAAACACTCGAATCACTCTCCACTCTGGCCCTCGTCCTGTTGTTCCGTTTCTTCACACTGTTCTTCCTGCCGTTCCTCGGACATTGCTTTCTGATTATCATCCCCTTCTACTTCAGGCTCACGATCTGGCGGTGTTCCACTTCGTTCACGATATTCTTCCTCCTGTTTCGGACTTTTAGAATGAGATCTTGTTCGCGATCTAGTTTTTCTCTCCCCTGATCGAGAACGAGAACGTTTCCGCGAGCCGGATCGAGACTTCCTGTCTTTAGAACCAGATCTAGAACGTTTACGTCTGGATGATCCAGACCCTCGTCTTCTGAAAGAAAAGATCAATCAAGATTGAGAATAGATTCACAGCAGGATTCTGAGAGAGAATAGAAAAAACCAGAGATTCAAATTTTTTAAATCAACATCTTGGAATATTTCTTGCAGACACAGCTTAAACCTGCTCATGTCATAAACAACGCTACGAGATAGAAAATAAACAACGCTACGAGATAGAAAATAAACAAAGGAGAGGCAAGCAATGCTACGAGATAGAAAATAAACAACGCTACGAGATAGAAAATAAACAAAGGAGAGGCAAGCAACGCTACGAGATAGAAAATAAACAAAGGAGAGGCAAGCAACGCTACGAGATAGAAAATAAACAAAGGAGAGGCAAGCAACGCTACGAGATAGAAAATAATAAACAAAGGAGAGGCAAACAACGCTACGAGATAGAAAATAAACAAAGGAGAGGCAAGCAACGCTACGAGATAGAAAATAAACAAAGGAGAGGCAAGCAACGCTACGAGATAGAAAAAAAAGTTTGACAGTTGGAAATCTGAAAAGAGGTTATGCTAGTGTTCCTCTTAAAACATGTTTTGAAAGAAAAAAATAAATACAGACCAGTTTAAATTAAACCACGAGTAGAATACAGGGTAGATTAGATTTCTTTAATAGGGGTGATGAGTTTAATAACCTATTGTTTTGTACCTGATATTGATTAGAAATGAGAAATGACAACCTACCTTTCTCTAGAAGTTGATCGACTTCTACTTCTCCTGAAATAACCAATCAATAACATTATACAAACATTTAATACAATTCATAATCTTCTAGTGTGTAAAGTTAATCCATAGGATGTTAATTAGACTATATTTACCAGACATGATTAACACCCAGCATTTACACATTCAAATGAAGTAAATAATATTGTAAATTTGGTACTTATAATGTATAAAATTAGACGCAAACTAAAAACTATAAAAAAGATGACAGCATGAAATATTCTTGTGGGCTTTCGGGATGGTATTAAAACAAACGTATTATTACCTGGAGCTTCGTTTCCTATCACGAGATCGTGATCTTGAATAAGATCGTTTTCGTCGCCTGTCTCGAGACCTTGATCTACTTCGTCGTCTGGGTGAATAGTGCCTACAATTATATTATAATCAAACAGAGAATAGAATATAAACTTACATATTAAACACACAATAGAATATATATAATAATACAGCTCAGCAATGATATCTTGTGTACATCTTGAGATGATTAAAAACATTAAACACTGGCAATAACTTGATTTTAATTTTGGTAATTCAAGGAGTAATAAAGATTTAATTGAAAAGACAGTCTGATTAAAATTAGATCAAACTTCGTTCTGTTTTTATTAGCTTTTATTTAGAATATATCACTTCAGTTAGGGTCTATCTATAGTGGCTCTATTTAGAATAAAAGATAATAACAAATGGAACGAATGTTCAGGACACCAGAGGCCACTTTGCAACTACAGTTTATCAACTCTGCATCCCTTTCAGAGAGTCCACAAAGCTTATATTGTTGAATGATATGGTTGGATAAAGTTTGACTATTTTCTAAATAAGACCAGATGTACACTTATATCTTTGCTCAACTTCACCACAAAGTACAACAATTAGATACAAAAACTCCTTAATTAATACACAAAACATAATAATCTTAAAATATAATTTAATTATCATAACAGATCAGACATGTCTGAAATATTATAACAGTTAGTTATCATTGTACGGGTAATCTAAAATACATCTTTTTCAATTAACTTAATTCAGTATTTTTTGTCATTTTAGAAATAAATCTGGCTTTATGTTTAAAACATGAATATTTGTGATCAATGGCATTTCTTTTACTGGGGTCTAAATTCAGGGTAAAACAGTCCTGATACATAAAACATTATATGTTTTAAATAATATCAAATTATAAATGAAAAAGTGATCCTATATAGTCCTTATTCTTTATAATATCTCCCTCAGAGTCAACTGGAACACTGGTCAGGTAATCTTTAAGTTCATAGGTCTTGTTTCATAGGAGAGAGAGTTGAGTTATTGTTATACTTCCTTACTAGATCAGTTCCTTCTTAATCTAATACTATCTACATCTACCTGTATAATCATCATAACTATTAGTCTAATAAATATCAACACCCAGCTTTCTACAGGGTTAAATATAAGTCATATGAAATATCTTGTGTCTGTAAAATAATTTAACCTGTTCATCTAATTCTAAGATATAATTCATCTCGTATTTTTTCTTTTTTTGTTCATCCTCAGTAAAATAAGTTGAAGTTCTTTGGTATATCAACGTTAATTGTCTAGAGCTCATTCCAGTTAGACTACAACTACTATACTAGCGTTTCCTATAGGTTTGCCAACATATCTTGACCATTACTTCAACTACAGGACCAATAATTAATATTCAATCACTTCAGTACAAGTTTTTATATACCAATTTTATATCAGATCCAATCTATAGCCTCACATCATAAATATTAATCCAACTTTTTACAAGTATAAAACATATTCCAGTATTTCACCCAGTTTTATTAACAACTGAGTTTTTTGGTTAAATTCTACGGATATTATCAGAACTAAATTCAATTCTAAATCAATTCCAAGACACATTCAAAATAATCAATTTATACCTGAAAACATTTTTATCATGAAAAATAAAGTTTCATGCAGATAAAACAAACATCTATTTACAAGGATCATTCTTTCTAATCTGGATTTCTTAACGAGATTCATCATGTTATTTTTTATGTCCATGTTATTTTCATTATACTGAAATTGAGATTTGAATGATTTATAAAAAGACCATTATCCCATCTTCAGATAGACCCAAAATTTTATTGACAATTTACAGACGAACACAAAATAAAATTATTATCTAATCAAGTATTTTGGATGACTAATTTGAAATTAAGCAAATGTTTTTTCAATGACAATACCCTCTGAAATCCAAGTTAAAAAGAATGAGCCAATTCTGGATGGTAAGGCATGCAGTTTTGTATGGACACAAGGGAGTAATCAAACCTGTTTTAACGTACAGGAAGTGCTTTATGATGGTGGCAGACATATTGTCTCCAAGTTCACCTTGACCTTCATGGTTTGTGTCAACTGTTTGGTTAGGTCAAGGTCAAGGTTGGTTTGAAACATTGTGTGACTGGTTTTAGTTTTAAAATTTGTAGCGGCCAGTTTTTGGTAGAAGTTGTAGAAGTTTACTTAGAAGGATTTGGTGGTAGTAGTAGAGTAACCTCCCTTTTTTTGGTTTCATGGTCAAGGAGTTATCTCCCTTATTCTCATGGTGTAAAGAGTTGTGTCCCTTGGTTTAAGGTTTGGTTTGAGTATAATAGTTTTAAAACAACGGGGAAGAGAAGTGTGTCTAGTATAGTACACCTAGTTCCAAAAAGAAAAATGTACAATTTGGAATTACATATTGAACAAGGCTTGAGAAATTATGGCAGGGACAAAAAACCCACGCGGAAGTTTTTTATTGAAGAAGGAAGCTTAAGACCCTTTTTCAAATTTCATAGTTTTACCGCTTTGATCTTAAAAACAATCTGATAAAATACAGATCTGAATTTCATTTCTACTATGCACAATTAGAATTTGAAAAACAAATCAACCAGTAAAGTGCTTTTTTCATCAAAAAATCAGACCAATAGAGAAACATTGCAAAGCTAGCAGATCACAAAGTTAATAAATTTAGAATGAGTGAATTACTCCCAGAAATAAATGAAACAAAATATCAAGAGCTGTATTTCAATCAGATTGCCAAAAGACTTGAGAGAAGATAAATGAAGGAAAAAATGCGAATGATTAGAAAATATGAGTGGATCAGTGATCAAAAAATGTTTTTGGGGCTGAAAGATGAGTCACATGGGCCTAAAAAAAACCCTGAATATGCCTAACTATGCTTTATCAAACCTTCGGACTACTGATATTACATCTTGAACTTTTGAATTTCTCTGTTATAAGGTAAGAAAATGACAGTCTAACAAAAATAGTAAGCACAAAAACACCAAGAGCTGTCAAATTTAGTTTCTGGTAGAATAACTACTGTATTGAGGGAGTTATACAGCCTCTGTTTACTACATAAAATACCTTTAAGTTGACAGCTCATGTTTAGAAATATCTCAGATGTGCGAAATTATCTTTGCTGGACAATGTAATATTCCTCCATTGAAGGTGACAAAACCCAGGAATCATAAATAAAATGGAGTTGTAAACCCTATTTTTCAGAGCCTACCAAGGAATTATGTAAACTGAAACAAGTACCAAGAGCCCAGTAAGAATTATAATTAAGCCCTGAACTTACCGATCTCTGTTATAGTTGTTATAATTGTTGTAGTTATTATGTCGATACCCCCCACCTCCTCCGCGACCACGATATCCTCGATATCCACCAGAATTATAAGTATTAATCTCTTTCTTTCTCTCGCTGAACGGTCTGGCGTGTTCTACTCTTACTCTTCTTCCACTAACTTGTCTAAAAGTGAAATAATATATATTTACAGCTTTCTATTTGTAGACACATCATTTTTCATCGTCGCCCGTGATGACGTTTAACCAATCAACGCATGCCTAAAACAAATTGGACATCACAACCTGCCAGTGTTCTCATCCTGCCATACTAGGATAATTTCAATTGTTTGAGCTCAATTAGGCTATTACAATCAGTTTATAACATTTACCTTCCATGTTTTTCTTTTACAGCTGTATCAGCATCCTCCCCATATTTAAACACCACAAAGGCAAAACCTGGTGGATCTCTGTAATTAATTAACATATCATCACAACTTGACAAAACATTGGATAACTACTGACTACAGTGGTTTCCCCCTTTTCCATGTCCACCCACGTGGTTTCCCATGATCTATGTTTACCATCTATGTATTACACAAGTTGAACTGTGGCCCACTTTTTAATTATTTTACCAGGATCTATTTTTAGATCACAATGGAAATACAAAATAATATACCAACAGAGCATGGATAATTTGATCTTAGAATGAACACCTACCGACGTAATATTGTATCAAAAACAGATCACAAACATCTTTGTCTTATGCCAGTCAAAAAGACGAGGAACAAAGTAAAACTGAAAATAGCCTCGCTTCAGTCCATAAAAATCGTTCAACACACGCTAATTTTAATGATGGAAGTTCTCCAAAAATTAGACTACAAACCTGGCAACCCATGTGTCTACAATAGATCCATACTTCTCAAACTCTTTTTCGATCTCAAATTTACCAATTCTGTGGCCTAAATCGCCAATAAAAATACGATAACCACCTTGTGTTTTGTCGTATTCCGCCATCTTTGATATTCTCAGCGAGTCGTGGTGAAAGTCACGTGATCTGATATCAATATCAAGAACGATAATCCAGTCTTTAAACTGAATTTAATTTCACCAAAAATCAATTATTTTGTCCAAAAATCGATATTTTTACAATAACTTTGTTGTTCTAGTCACAAAACAAATTTACTCAAATGACAAAATATCCATAAACACGACAACATGTGTTGAATATTAGTTCTTTACGATGTTGTAATACCAAGAAAATAGATTTTCGGGCACAGATGTGATCCCTTTAGTGCACAAAGTTTCTACTGCAGTTTCGGTACAAATTCCAAATCATAAAACCAATGAATAAAAAATTGACGAAATAAAAAAAAGGTAGATGATCAGAAACAGAAGTGAAGACAATATCGAGAAACAATTGACAATATCTGTCACTCGGCCTAATGGCAGGCTAATCATTGGTTATCTCTATCAAAGCCGTCGTGATAACAAATCTAAGGAAGGGATTATCCACATAAATTCAGATTAACAGACCTTAAATGGATTATCCCCAAGTATTAGCACTTTCTTTTCTAATCAATGTCTATAAAACCTCTAAACGATTTGACGTTAATTAAGTAATTCTAATCCTTAACTATTCCGAATTATTGCAGGCAGCGATCGGCTCGCAGTTTACGTGAACTGTAATGATTGTAAATGTGGAATGACGAGGGTCAAATTTCTGATGTTTAACTCGAATAATCACCAGGCCCCAGGATAAACAATTGTTTCTCCGTAGATGTTTCTAATGCGGTGACTGGAACTTATCTGTAGTCGTAGATAGATCGGGGTCAAACTAATAGCTACGCTAGATCACTTCTGCTACCGAAATACCCACCGGTCTTGAGTCGACATCCATTAGAAATGACTTTTGTATAAAATGAGTTATAATTTACATCATAATGAGCATTCCAAATTATAGAGAACCTTTTAAGTTCCCCAAAATAAATGTTTTCTATGGTAGTTAGTAGAGAAAGCGTCTGGATAATAGAGACATGCTATAATTTTAGCGTCTTGATAATCGAGGTAAATATAGTGTCAGACGCGAGTAATGGCGGGAGATAAAATCAAAACAAACCAACAATTTTAACTTTTAAAGAAATAAATGTAAGCTTGAGTAGATTTGGGGTCGTTTCCAAAATTAATATTTTCCCTAAGACCCTTTTCTATATTTTTGGCCACAACTCTGGTCACTTTGAACTAGAACAAGTCGACTGTATTTGTGCCAATGAATATTTTTTCTCGAAAGCGACTAATTTTAAATCAAATGAATTTAAGATTGTTATTGTTGTAAGTCTAGTAGTGAGGGACAGGTATTTCGTTTAGAAATTTAGAACCGGTTGTGGAGCTTTGTTTCACACTTCAGTGTATTGCTTCTATCTGACACCAATGACACCTCTGCAGTGGCGTTTCTATGGTGGGTTAGGGCTGGGTATTTTTTAGCACAACCTCTTTCAAGTTTTTCAGATATTTTGATGTAAAATTTAAAATCAAGATTGAGACAAGATGAGACGGTCTGCAGCTCCGAGTCAGAATCAACCGATTTCTAAACGACTTAAATTTTCAGCTCCTTATAAACTAAATACAACCCCAGCTCCAGTTTCAGTTGACCTGAATCACAACAACAATAAAAACAACGTAAGTCTGGAGTGTTTAAAGCAATACAGTCATTACCTCCCTTTGAACTTAGTTTCACTTTTTAAAATTAAAATCTGATACAAAGTTCTCATACAATTCAATAAACACATCCAACATTAGTTTAAGTGTTAAATCATTATCAAACATTCTCCCTGACATTTTCGAATAAATGATTTCCCTAAATTTTTAGGTTTTATTGACAGTAACTAGATCTTTGAACAGGTAATGAATGAGGAAAAATGTTCCCTGATGTCATTCATTTATTTATTTTCATTCATTTATTCATTGATATACCCATTTATTTTTTTGTTAATGTTTTAGATAAGAGAAAATTCTGGTAATTTTTATGAAAACCACAAAAACAGTATTCGTCAGTAAGTTAGTTTCATATTTCATATTTCTTCATTAAACATTAGTTTTACTGTTTAAACAGAAACGAGCAGGGGCCACAAAATGTTTGAGAAATGCCACTGTTGAATATGTTTGAAAACTCTTTTAGAAGTAGCAGTCCAACAGTAGAGTCTACCTATGTTGAGAATTTTAATAGAATTGTTCCCATCAGTGATAAAGCCTCACCATTAAAACTAGTAGAATCCAATCAGAATCATGTTTATATTAAACCTACTTTTAAACCAGGTGAGATTTTCATTTTCTATGTCCATATTTCAAAAGTATTATAGAGCTTTTGAAAGAAACAATCAACCATTTTTTACAAGGAAATATAACTTAGTTTCTTGTGGATTCTTTTTACCAGCTGGTTCTTAGCCAAAACTCTTGGCATTGATGTATCTCAGATTATCTAGAAAAATGAGAAAAGTTGACTTATTAAAGCCCACCAAGATAAAGACCCGCAACCAACAAAAATGACGTCATTAAGGTGTGCTACAGACTGTCAAGAATGTAACATGTTGGGTTGTCGTCTGCTAGCTGCAAATTTCAGTGCTTTTCCTAATAATTAACAAATTGTGTCAAAATATTGAAAACATCAATAATGTAATTTTTGTTTAGTTCCAGTCCAAACCCCTGTCCCCCAGTCTCCAGTGTCTCAACCAGTGGAAGATGGAAAACAGAAGAATTATTTTAATGTTGTCTGGTGTAAACGTTCAAATAAAAAACACAAAAAATGGGAGGGAGATGGTGAGTAATTATCTCATAAAAACATCTTTATCTGAGATATATTAATACATGTTTTAAACTGTATATATATATATTTCAGCTATACTAGTAACTTGTGGTCGAAGTGTTTTAAACTGTATATATATATTTCAGCTATACTAGTAACTTATGGTCGAAGTGTTTTAAACTGTATATATATATTTCAGCTATACTAGTAACTTGTGGTCGAAGTGTTTTAAACTGTATATATATATTTCAGCTATACTAGTAACTTGTGGTCGAAGTGTTTTAAACTGTATATATATATTTCAGCTATACTAGTAACTTGTGGTTGAAGTGTTTTAAACTGTATAATTCTATTTCAGCTATACTAGTAACTTGTGGTCGAAGTGTTTTAAACTGTATATATATATTTCAGCTATACTAGTAACTTGTGGTCGAAGTGTTTTAAACTGTATATATATATTTCAGCTATACTAGTAACTTGTGGTCGAAGTGTTTTAAACTGTATATATATATTTCAGCTATACTAGTAACTTGTGGTCGAAGTGTTTTAAACTGTATATATATATTTCAGCTATACTAGTAACTTGTGGTCGAAGTGTTTTAAACTGTATATATATATTTCAGCTATACTAGTAACTTGTAGTCGAAGTGTTTTAAACTGTATATATATATTTCAGCTATACTAGTAACTTGTGGTCGAAGTGTTTTAAACTGTATATATATATTTCAGCTATCTATACTAGTAACTTGTGGTCGAAGTGTTTTAAACTGTATATATATATTTCAGCTATACTAGTAACTTGTGGTCGAAGTGTTTTAAACTGTATATATATATTTCAGCTATACTAGTAACTTGTGGTCGAAGTGTTTTAAACTGTATATATATATTTCAGCTATACTAGTAACTTGTGGTCGAAGTGTTTTAAACTGTATATATATATTTCAGCTATACTAGTAACTTGTGGTCGAAGTGTTTTAAACTGTATATATATATTTCAGCTATACTAGTAACTTGTGGTCGAAGTGTTTTAAACTGTATATATATATTTCAGCTATACTAGTAACTTGTGGTCGAAGTGTTTTAAACTGTATAATTCTATTTCAGCTATACTAGTAACTTGTGGTCGAAGTGTTTTAAACTATATATATATTTCAGCTACACTAGTAACTTATGGTCGAAGTGTTTTAAACTGTATATATATATTTCAGCTACACTAGTAACTTGTGGTCGAAGTGTTTTAAACTGTATATATATATTTCAGCTACACTAGTAACTTGTGGTCGAAGTGTTTTAAACTGTATATATATATTTCAGCTATACTAGTAACTTGTGGTCGAAGTGTTTTAAACTGTATAATTCTATTTCAGCTATACTAGTAACTTGTGGTCGAAGTGTTTTAAACTGTATATATATATTTCAGCTACACTAGTAACTTGTGGTCGAAGTGTTTTAAACTGTATAATTCTATTTCAGCTATACTAGTAACTTGTGGTCGAAGTGTTTTAAACTGTATATATATATTTCAGCTATACTAGTAACTTGTGGTCGAAGTGTTTTAAACTGTATAATTCTATTTCAGCTATACTAGTAACTTGTGGTCGAAGTGTAACGTTGTATGATTTAGAAGGCAAAGAGTAAGTTATCTCCCTTTAATTATTTATAATAATGTTTCAACCTCATCTTTACATTGCCCTTTCAGAGATATAGCCTGAATATTTAATGGCATGAATATTTAAAGGAATATACCGAGATTTTGGATAGATTCAACCAGGGCCTATCTATTTAATTATATGGAGTATTGTTTTAACCACCACTTGATAAACAAAACTCTTTGACTGGTAAATAATTTGGTGACTATTGATTTCTAGAATAAGACTGGTGTTTTATGCCTTGAATGGGATCATAATATTTATTTTGCTATGAATGAAGTAATATAAAATATTTTAGATTTGGTAAAGCCACAGGATATAAAGTAAAGGAACTAGAGACGTTACAAGAAGATCAGACATTACCTATTGGTGGACGAGAAATACTGGTAGGTTTTATATTGTTATAATTATAGTAACAACTGATATCAGTGTAAAATAATGTGTAATTATTATAATACATGGAGTTACTTCCCTTTTTGGAACTCTCTTTATTACTTGGTTGGTGAGTTCTGCTAGTTTGTGATTCATGGAATAAAACAAGTTGGAACAGAGTTCAAAATACGTCTCACGTCTGCTGAAAATATAGTAGGTGTAGACAGAATTCAAAATGACTGAGAAAGAAACAGATGGGTACATTTTGAACGTCTGTTCCGTCTCGTTGATTGAGGTCAGAATTAAAACATGTCTGTTCCGTGTCGTTGATTGAGGTCAGAATTAAAACATGTCTGTTCCGTGTCATTGATTGAGGTCAGAATTAAAACATGTCTGTTCCGTGTTGTTGATTGAGGTCAGAATTAAAACATGTCTGTTCCGTGTCGTTGATTGAGGTCAGAATTAAAACATGTCTGTTCCGTGTTGTTGATTGAGGTCAGAATTAACACATGTCTGTTCCGTGCCGTTGATTGAGGTCAGAATTAAAACAAATC